ATTTCATGTTTTTTGGATTTGGGATGCCCAAAAGGTGAGGATCATACAAATATTCCCCCCAAAAAACCCTCCAAAAACTGTAACTCTGAAGTACTTCTGGTCCCAAGAGTTTTGAATAAGCAATATTTAACCTGTATTTTTGGATTTTAAGAAATTTTGATATATAGGCTTTAAACATTTTAAAATGGGCAGATCATGGTGAACAAATGAAAATCAATGTGATTTCCTTTTAAGCTAGAAGTATCATGTGAAGAATTTGCTATATCTAAAAACTTGAACCTTAAGACAGTATCAGCTTCGTGCTGTCTGGTTTGTTCCCTGACGTGCCTTATACATAGAAGGCATTCAATAAACACTTGTCATGTAATTAAATGTAAGAAAAGATGGCACACAGTTCGGCACTGTTCAATTCTCAGAGAACATGACCTTTACAGTCCTTTTATGGAGGTATGCCATCATCTATTAGCATCTTCTCCACTAACCTGACACTAACTCAGCTACTCTGCTGACTTTGGACTTCCTATACTGATTTCTCCCAGATATTAAAAAACTGTCTCCTTCTTGAGCACCTGGTGATAAAGACAGTAAATTACAACTGTAATTTCTGCTAAGTTTTCAATAGACAAGGAACTCTCTCTCTCTCTGTGTTTGTTTGTGTGTGTGTGTGTGTGTGTGTGTGTGAATGTATGCTGGTAAAGCATATTACAGCCTGTGGGAGAAATGTCTGATATAATTTAAACTCGCAAGTTGAATATGAAATGCCTAGAATAACTTAACTAATGGCAATAATATTATATACCTGTAAGAATTATTTGCAGGAGAGTTAAAAGTGCCTCATAGGTTTTATTTAATTAATCTTCACTGTAGCCTTGAGATTTGAAGGCAAGCAGATATTATTATTAGCTCCACTTCACGGGATGGAAGGCAAAGAAAAAAGTGGCTTGATCACTACTTTACTGTCATTATCTGTTGGCTCCAACAAAATAGGCATTCTAAAAGCACAGACCCAAAGTCTAAGGTACTTCTCATATATTTGAAAGTTTGGCTTCAAACAGTCATTCAACTACATAGATATTGATACCTTCGAAGCTTTTCATCAGCTATAATTAATCTGCCTAACTTATATTCTACTTTTCTCCAACCACCCTCCCCTTCTGTTCTAGCCAAGATGAATTTATGCTGCTCACTTAGGTCTGATACTGGATGTCATCCTTTCTGAGATTAATCCAAACTGTTGTATACATGATATGGTGAATAACTGCCCCTTCCACAATCTGAATTATATCACTCCCTGCCTTGTTTTTTAAAATTTAATTTAGCTTTCCATTTTTATTAAAGTAACTAACAAATATAACAGATTTCTAGTCCTGGAGATTACTTCTAGAAATTCTAGATCAAGTACTGACAATTTATTGTATTTTCATCTTTAGATAACTCTCTGGTATGAAACACAAGGGCTTAATTCTCTGCCTTCTCATTAGTTCTTCCCTGAGTTTGATGTGAACATGATTACTTTTATTTGTTCTGCATTTTTTTTTTTTTTTTTAAAGTTAAAAAAAAAAAAAAAAAAAAAGAAAAAAAAAGGAGACATTCATTTAAACTTCTGGGCATTCTATTGAATAGACAGGCTCTCATCTCTGCTGCAGCTCCCTGTCAGCCTATTTTTGTCTAGCACTTACATTTTACGGATTAAACAACTACATTTGATTTCTGATTTAAATAATTTGTTGTAATCTCATATCCACTGGACACACTCCTTTCCATTTCCTTCATTATTATGGGGTTATTTACTAATGAGACTTCTATGCTTCTATTTTAAAAGGTCTCGGTAGTGACATGCTTAGTCTGCTATTTTGAGCCAGGAGTCACTCCTTTATGTCTTTCTTGCTCAGTGTATCGATTTTGCTTCCTCAATCAATAAATTCTCTAACAACCAACATTGTTTTAAATAATTTATCCCAAAAATTTATGTATTTCAATGTACTCTGGGTATAAAAAAAAGGCCGATTATGTGAAAGTAAAAGACACAAAACAAACTATCAAAGTGCATCCATTTGCTTCATCACAGACCCAGTTACCACAATGAGACTAGAGAATCACGCTAGGCTTAGTAACAGCGGCACATAAAAAACGTTGAAATAATAATGCAAAAAATCTATTATGGTAGATTAAGAATTGATCAGGAGACAGAAAGAAAGAGAATACACAACATTTTGTTTGTTGTTATTTGCCCGCTGCTATCTCAAGAAATTATAATTTCTCTCTAAAACTCTAAGTGCATTTCAGGCAGATCTAGGAAGCAGTATAGGCTTTTAATCTGGGACTTTATTATGTCAGTTACAGTAAGCCTCTCTACCTTCTAGAGATGCTTTTTTTTTTTTTTTAAAGAAATCTATTCCTTATGTTAAGTTTTCATATTTAAAAAATAGTCTTTTGAGGACTTTTTCTATATGGTTAGGTCTCAGGTCAATGAACAAAAGAAAACCTTCTCTGTTTAAGAATAATATTTGAGAATAAGGGTTCTGTCATGGCATTTTAAAAAGCGATTATGATTAGACCATTTTTTGGTGGCAGAATTTTTGTAAAATGTCACTTTGGTCTTACCTCACAGTACCAACAGGCTTCACAGTAATTTTTCTAAATGTCAGAAATACGAAATTTCTGTATTTCTCTTATCTCATTATCCTGCTAGTCTTCTTAGGGAAACATAAGTACATATTTATTACATTTGCCTCATGTTCATCTGCCTATGTATATAAGCCCTTAAAGTTCTATGATCATGTCTACATATCTGGAATAAGACTTCACATAGAAATTCGGGTGCTAATGCAGTCTACTGAGAGCTGTAAAGTAAATTCTCAAACTACCTATATTTAGAGACAGCATTATTTTATACAACTTTCACTGTTTAAATATCTCAAGATTATTTTCAATAATGACCTAAATATCTCTGAGATGGGAAATACTCAATATGAAGAAAGAGTTGTGTTCTTTGAAGTGGTTCTCAAAGACCTAACTGCTACCACCTTCTTCCTTAGCATAGATTCTCTTCTCCCATTATGGTTCCCTTCTTTCAATTGTTTAGCTTTCTTTGATTCTTTAGCTTGAGAATTCTCAAAACATTTCTACTTCAGAGATAAAAAGGTCCACCACCGTGTTGAGTTGCATGTGTCAAAACTCTGCCTTCTTAAGAAGGAGTAGGAGAACGTCTCATTGAAAAGAGCCCAAAAGGCAAACTTTAAGCAAAAAGGGGAAAAAGAAACCATGCTTTTCTTTGACTAGCATCCATGAGTTCTACAGATGTTGATTTGTTTACATTTGTACTTGAAGTTTAAAAAGAACATTAAATAGATGTTGGGAATGAAACACTACGATAATTCTAATAGTTAAGAAAGATGATGCTGGCTTTCACAATTCAATGCATGCTTGGAAATCATATTGAGTCAGACGTGTTGAAAGGTCAAGTGCATATTATTACTCCAACATTCACCTTTGGAACATGCTTGGGATACTCTACACCTAAATGACAGTTTGATTTGTTAAGAGGTAGCAGCAATGTGTTAGAAAGTGAAACGATGCCTGACAATGCTATTATGTTAGAAACTACAAACATGATGAATAATGAGTATGCAAAGGCACAAAGTGACATGTATGCTTTTCCAGCTGAAGATTAGCAGAAAGTAAATAACTACCAGTGTACTTTTGTACACATTTGTACATTTCTTGCTGCACTGAAGTGAACAGAATCAAAATAATTCTGTTAAATTGAATATATAGTCAACAATTGTGGATCCCACATGTAAACTATAAAAATCAAAAACCTTTTATAATGTAAGTAGGTTATTATCTAATTATATTTCTACAAAAACCACTATTTAATAGCCTTCAGGTATAATAAGTATGACACAATCACAACTAAAAAAAAAAAAGTAAAAAATATGACCCAAAATAAAATTGAGTCATTGTTATTTGGCCCTAAACAACAATTCTGGTTGGGGATTGAAAAATTTCCATCTCAAAAACCTGAGTGTGGTAAAATAACATGACCTGTAGGGCAATTCAGTTGGCCTCTGTTAAACGTCTCTGGGAAATAGGGGAATTCTACAAATGCAGACTGTGCATGGTTAACTGCCACTATCTGCCCGTCAAAATCATACCTAAAAATGTTTAGCCAAAGCAGTCCAATAACTAGATCATGAAACCAAGTTCATGAAAGCCTAGGTCCTTTTTCCGTTTTAAAGATTACAACAGGCTAAGCACGGTGGCTCATATTTGTGATCCCAGAACCGTGGGAGGCTAAGACGCTTGAGCCCTAAAGTTCGAGACTAGCCTGAGCAACATGGCAAAACCCTGTCTCTACACAAAATACAAAAATTAGCTGGGCTTCGGGGTACATGCCTGTAGTCCAAATCACCCAAAGGCTGAGGTGAGAGAACCACCTGAGCCTGGGAGGTCGTGATCATGCCACTGCACTCCAGCCTGGGCAACAGAGTGAGACCCTGTCTCAAGTGGGGAAGGGAAAGAAGAATAAAACAATCCTGAAATGCCATGTTTCCTAATTTTCAAAACAGCTGTTTGGAATTATTCAGGTACCAGAGAGACTGACAGATGCATATTTTTAGCTATTATCTTCCCACTAGCATGTGAACATCACCAAAGCAGAGAATGTTTCGAATAAATGAATTACAGCACCCAACTGACATAACCACGATACAGCCATGGCAAACACCAGTGATCTATATATTGCATTACTACAACCTTACATGTAGGTTCAGAAAACCTCAACACCTGACTTGTGTTTATATCCTCATGGCCTTATTTACACCACTTATTTTACACTCAACACACAAAATACACAGAAAGATCTTAAAGAGAAAGATTATAAAGTTTGTTCATGAGCTATAAACAGTGAAAATGCAGAATGAACAATGTAAACAGACTGTAACTGTGTTCCCAACCCGCAACATGAGCAGAGTGGAGATGGAAAAGGACTGGCTTACCTCTGGTGTGCCAAGAGCATGTTCTCCAGCTAACAGCAGCATACTCAGGCCTCCCATTTGAGTAGGATCTAAATAAGTCAAAAACAAATCATCAACTTATAAGCATAAAGTACATACAATCCACAGAGTCAAAAAGAATACTCATAAAGACTAGCAATTAGAAATCCAGCACAACCACATATAACTTTTTATAAAAAAACTTTTAAAAACTCTTTATGCAACAATAACCTGGCATATATGTGTCTAGTGCTCATACTTTGTGAGCCTCTTGAATACCACTCTTGTCTCACCATTCCAACAGCACTTTCTTCAATACCACTGCTGTTTGTAACATTAATTTATCTTCTAATGTAATGTTTCTTTCCTTACTGCTTGGGGAGTTAAGATAAGATTTTTTAAACAAAAGAGTGTTATTCTCAAATTGTTAATTCTGCCATGTGAAATCAGGACTAATTTTAAAATAATAGGCTATCAGATAACTAGAGAACAGAGAGAAGTTTTCCAATCAGGCCTGTAAAATCTGGTAGGTTTTATTCAAATAACCTTTCTTTAAAGTTTTAAAAATAAATTTACATTAACTGATGTGTTTTTGACATTTTAAATCTTAGGGGTAGTCAAACACATGCCCAAAATGCCTTCAAGGTATAACATTAATGCTTTTTATGTTATCAAAGTTCTTTGTTTTCACTATTTCAAGAATCAATATAAACAGAGAAAATAAAAACAGCAAAGTGGTAGATCTATAACCCAGGCTGTATCTAAACAAAGAAAGCAGACTCGGGAATAATGGCTCATGCCTGTAATCCCAGCACTTTGGGAGGCCAAGGCAGGAGGATCTCTTAATGCCAGGAGTTTGAGGCTACAGTGAGCTAAGATCGCACCACTGCACTCCAGGCCTGGGTGACAGAGTGGGACCCTGTCTCTAAAAAATTAAATGAACAAATAGAAAATAAATAAAAACAAAGAAGTTATCAAATAAAAGGCACCTGTGTCCTGTAAGTCTGTCCTGAATTAAAATTCAGAACTGTAATGAAAGAACATATGTCAAAAAGCCTAACTCGGTGTCTCTCCTCGTGCATATAAGGCCCTTAATCAATGTATATTTAATTTTAGGAATCTACAGTTGAAAATGAGGATCAGTCATAATGTTGCACAAAGAAATTTAGTTGTTTCTTTTCTTTATTGGGTTAAAGATAGGTCCTTAAGTACATCTTTGTATACAACCTGTCTTAGGAACTCATAAAACAACTGTGACTACATGTTATAAATAGTTTTTAAAAAAATTGCAAAAAAACTTCTGAGGTAGTAAAAAAAAAAAGGGTAGGGGTTGGGGGAAGAGGTTATTAGAGGAAAAACTATGTTACCAAAAGATCAGGGGGTCAAAAAATAGCTCAGCATTGGAAGGCAGCCACATAGGAAGACACACACAGAGAAAACGCAGACAAACAGTAGCTGATTTGATGAAACAAGGCTCTCTGGCGTTGTTTTAAGACTCCAACTTTAACTAAATGTTAAGTTTAAGAACTACTGCGGCTGCAGAAATAGATACTTAAATCTACTTAAAAATTAAGAGGGGGAAATGAATTTGCTAGAAAATAAAAGTTTAGTTTGGTTCTTTAAAAGAGAAATACTTTTGCAGCTGTCATCCTAGAGATCAGGAGGATTGGATGATAGCTTTCTAAAGATAAAAATGTGTTAGTTCAAATTACAAAGTAAAATAGGAACATGATTATGTGATAATTTATATACCAATGTGACTTTGCAATAAGTTTGCTATATAGATACCAAAACATAGGCCAAGAAATTACCAACATCCTTTATATTAATTCACACTTACATAATGTTATTTAGAACTATCAAAAACATATTCACATACATAGGATGCTTTCTTTAGTGCAATTCAATGAAAGGGTTTGCACTAAATTACAATATACACAGCTTTCCCTTCTTGGAAATCATACATTTGGTAATGTGGGGTTATTGAGAATTGCAAAATGTCATGTGACAAGGACTACTGGGCAAACAAAACAAAAGAGATTCCATATTGAGGAAAACAATCTGGCATTTAGAAGCCCTCTATTGTCTCTTAGATTCACATGCCTAAGCACCAGGTTTTAATTAAAGACAAATCAGTTCACTTTCATCTTGTTGAAAACGAACATACCTGGAAATATCAGATCAATGTTATCCGCTATATGCAAGCCTATCAAGAGTTCTGAACACGGATTTGCAACATATAACCCAAGCCATTATATAATGAGATAAATGCAAGGAAGGTGTTATCCTTCTTTCCTGTACTTTCTTTTGAGAACACATATCTTAAATACTGATCTGTAAAGATCCTGTTTGAAGTCTGGGTTCGACTTTCAATTTGCAGGTAAAAGGCAGATTAATAAAGTATCAGAAACGGTGCTACAAAAAAGATATCTTTCAAAGCTTTCTGCAGTTCACCCACAATTGTTATATGGTTTGTGAAGAGCAGATGTATGCAAAAAAAAAAAAAAAAAAAAAGCCAACAACACCAACAAACTACATACCCTGATCTAGATTTGAGAATTGGGAGAAAAAAGCAATGGATGTTACATGATGACCAAAGAAATTCAGCTGGAAGCCAGTCATCTATATACTCTTTCTGGGTTCTGATAATACGATATTTTAGAAAGTACTCCAACTGATACAACCTGGGAAGTCCAGAAAGCTCACCAGGACTATCTAATAACAAGTGGTTTGAAGATAAAATTGTACAAAGTGACAGCTAAAGCAAGGACAGATATCTATGTCTGATTCTTCTGGGATATGCAGAAGCATCATTTTGGGAGTTTATTTAGAATGACACTACAGACACCCACATAGCAATCACCTGAATCCTTCCCCACCACCCCCCTAGAATGCTGCCATTATGTTAGACTTCATTTTTTAGAGGCAGGGTCTTGCTCTGTCACCCAGGATGGAGTGCAGTTGTAAGGTCACAGCTCACTGCAGCCTCGAACTCCTGGACTCAAGTGATCCTCCCATCTCAGCCTCCCAAGTAGCCAGGACTACAGGCACATGCCACCACACATGACTGATTAAAATAATATTTTTTGTAGATTATATAGAATACTGCCACACACTTTATATACTATGAATCACACAGTGAACTATAAAGTCTTGTTAAATTTATTGGTTATTAAAAAAATGTGTTATCACAATATCACTCAACCTCTTTCCACAACCTTTCCATATGCAAATAGCTCAATACTCTGATTTGGAAGAAAGTTTGCTTCTAATACCGAAATAGGAACCCTATAGCTCAATCGCAGCATCACTGCCTTTCCCCTGCTCAATCTGCTAATTTCATCTGGCAAACTCCTCTTTTGATTACTGTATTGCAATAGCTAGGGAAGACAGAGCCACTTGCAGGGTGAATATAAGAACTTTATTTCATGGTAATACATGATTTAGCATACCTTACCACCCAAAGAGCACTAAAGGTCCCATAACAAATGGCACCGTCTGGAATTTTAAATTTCTCTGACCCATACATGAATGGACACAAGAGGAGACAGATAGGATGGGAATTCTAAGACACAGCTGTGTCAGGTCCATCTCAGATTTGTGATGTACTTGTTCATATTCGTGCCCTCAATGTTTCCAATACCCAGATGATCTACATGATTGTGGCTTTTTAAGTAGCATGATAACTAAGGTGCATATTGGGATGGCTTACTGGTGTGTATGTGTGTGTAAGCCGTTCTGTGAACATAAAATTTCCAAGGCTTCTAACAATCTCCATGTTGCTGTCTACTTTTCCATACTGTCAATGTCAGGAATTCACATATATTTATAATGACACTACCACTGAGGCTATATATCCTTTTTAAAATTACATGTATTCTATATATATATCATGATCCAATGCTTGAAAATACGCTATATCTTTGCCACTGCTTAATATTGGTCATACATTTTGTCCCTCTGCCCCCTGTATTGTTTAAAATGCTGCCGAAATGTACTGCCCTGTCCTTAAAGAACAGGTGGAAATAGTGTCTCAACTCACCAGCCATTCCAAAGTTAAGCTGAGGCATTTCTTCAGTCTTTGCTTTCTTGGGGCTTGGCAAGTCTCTTGAAGAGTCAGATGGGAAGGCCCAAAGTTTCTTTCGTGGATTGACAGTGGGTGTTGGGGATTTCACAGGCTTGTTTGTGGTAGGACACCATTTGTAGCCAGGATTTGCTTTCATAAATGCATCTTTATACTACAAAGGAAAGGACAGATAGTAGATTTTAATTAACAAATAGACTGAAAAAGTTCTAAGGGCTGTCACACCATTCCCCTATCTAGATACCAAGTGAGAAAAACAATTTCAGTGACTTCTGTGGCTCTCCTTGTAGAAGAATGACAATCTCAGCATAGGGATCTAGAGATAAGACATGGAGTTATCTAATCCATTTATGGGATAAGCATTCAGAAGCTGTATACTTTGTGTTCTTTAATCCTCAACTTTAAAAAGTAGTATCCAAAAAGCTTTCTGACCTTGGTGGGGAGAGGGAGTTGTTTATAATGGAATGAGCCTAGGGCTCTGGAGACAGAAGCAGGTTCAAACCCTCAAACTTCCACTTAGGGCTACAGTAACCAAGGAAGAGAAGGTAGCTTCTCTGTGCCTCAACCTTAGATTCCATAAACTGAGAATAATACCACCAGTGCCGAGGGTTGTTGGAAGCAGTGGTGCATAGTGCATCGACCATTTCTTTAGCTAGCTGTGGACATTAAGCAAGTTATTAAACCTTTCTCAGCCTCAATTCCTCCACTTACAAAGTGTAACCACACTTGCCACCATGCCAGGGGTCTGCAATGAGCATACATAACTGAATATATAAACAAGCTCTAAGAGCGCTGATATGTGATGTTGCAATAATCCATCACAAACTTTGTCTTACTTGGAGGTTTCAGCCTTCACTGACAACATCTTTCTCCTTCATTTTTCTGTGGCTTGCTCCTGTTACCATTTCTCTCAATTCTGCTACCTTTTATGTCTTGCATGACAATAACATGAAGCAAAATACATTTATTGCTATTTGTTACATATTGCCAAAAGTTATCTGTTAAGAACGTATTTTCCACATATTCAATTTTTATTATTGCTAGATATTTTATTAAATTAATACAATTCATTCAATCCCATAAGCTTGCCTTTTAAAATGGTAACTTAATGTGTGACATTAACTCATTATAACCTCCAAACAGCTTTTAATTTTACCCAATAGTCTGAAAAAGGTCCTTTCTCCTTGGTATGTACTTTCCTTATACCAAGGCTATACTTTTTTTCCTATCATTTCTCTTTAAATCATATAAATGAAAACTGTGATGTAGATAATTATGCAATGTTAACTGACAATGGTGTAGAATTATTTCATGTTATCTTAACTCAAAGTTTCTGAATAATCCATTTTTTTTAACCTGTAAGATATATATGCCTATTGATACATGGATACATATAGAAGGAAAGTAAGCATAAAAAAACTGTAGAATACAGTCCCATTTTTCTTACAAAAATAATTAAAATTGCACACAAGACCAAACTAGAATTTACCATCAAAAAGCAGAACGTGTCAGGAGTTATCAAATGTGATACAAGAGACACACTACCACAGTGCATTCATGTGCATGAGGGATTTACATATTAAGCTGAGGCAGACAAATAGCTCTGCCTGCTGTCTGGAAGTGGAAAGTGACAAATGGCAGGGTGAGGTGAAAATGGAAGTAGCAGACGCACGCATCATTATTGTGTCCCAGTAAAAGCACACAGGCCGGGTGTGTCAGATGAACAGTCACTTGAACAAAGGTCACCACTTTATAAAGTGTCAAAAGACTTTCAAACAAATTGATTAACATATTTGTCATGATAAATAAAATTATCTATTTTTGGGAGGGAGTAGTTTAAAAATTTTAAGAAGGAAGTCATAATTGTAGAAAATGCTAGACAGGTGTCACCAGAATGATGGCCAGCATCAACTAATTTTAAAGCACCAATCATACCAACAGAGTCCAGCTTAAACTAATTTACAATGGGGAGCTGGTGCTGAAAATCACATAGAGCAGTTATAATCACCACATCCCAATTTCTCTTGCATGTATTCCACTCACCTATCCACATCTCAAATATTCTGTGAGCACTGACTAGATGACAGACACTTGCTAGACACTGGGGAGAGAAAAGAGTATGAATTTGATGGAGTCCCTGTCTTCGTATTGCTTACAGTCCACAGTTTACAAAAAAATATATAATTTCTTTTTACACATGGTCCATAAGGCTGGACCATCGCTTCCTCTGGCTCAGGCAGGAAAAATGGTTTTACAATGGATCTGCAAAAGGGCTACCTACCTATATGAGTTGGAATAACAGAGGGCAAGAGAAAGGCCGGGAATACGTGGGGTTTTATGCAAAACAATAACAGAATTTACTATAAGGGTCTACACTCTGTAACGGTATCACAATATTAATCTTGCAGATTCTTAAACTCAATGTAGATGTTCAAAACCACGTTCATGAGTTCAATCAAGTATACATTGAGTGGAAGAGTTAAGAATGTGAGAGAGAGAGAACAGAATAACACACAGTCTTTGTCCTTAAGGATTTTAAAGTTTAGATACAGATGCCATCAATTCACGTAAAAACACAAGTTAACACAAGCAGTATATGAGCATCAAGCGAGGGTGGAGGCAGGAAGAGCCTCAGGGTATGAGGATGTCTATCTGTTCTTGGAACCTGGCACTTCATCAATCACTTGCTCTGATTTAGCTAAAAGAGACAACAGTAGAAAGGCTTAATCATTTGTTGTGATGAGACTATTAGGAAAGGAATTACAGAGAAGGCTGGGTAAGGGAGAAATGGGGGAAGACTCTGTATACACCTCTGAAGTGAATATCTGAGTGAAATCATTAGTGTGCAGGTCAATCATGTGGGCAAAATCCCTCATTACAGGACTGAAAAGGCCTAAGAGACAGGCCCCAGATATCCAACGCCAGACTGTTCATACTGATGGTGGGACGGGAAGCTCACTTATCCTCCAAAAACATCAAACAAGCTATCGGTCCTAAGATTTCAACGGAAGACTCTGTCAGATAACAAAATTTTTGTTAAAAATACTGATTTTCAAAATTCTCCCATTAAATAAAAATTCATCTCATGGCTTCCAATTTCTTTCTGCAAATTTCCAACCAATTAGATAAGCTAAGGGAATCCTACTTTGCAGTAGACACATAGTTCCTGACTTACCTGTGGTGCTTGGTAAATGCTGGATCCCTTCTCTCAGGCCCCATCCACTACCACGTTTCAGTAGCAAGAATAATAAATTAGAAATCCTGCTACTGATTTTACTGTTATTCAGTATTGGCATCAAATACCCTTTGTCACAGTATTTTGTCTACTTAATATTTGATAATGGCATTCTTATGTGACAAAAGACAATATTCTGTCAATCTTTTAAAAACGGAGTCTCAACATTACTTTTCTAGACCGTTTCCAAAAAAATGCAAATTTGATAAACAAAAGCACTTTAATTTTAATAAAAGATAGACTTACCAACTGTTCTCCATTTGCCTGTTTTTAGTTGGGAGGAGGTGCTATCTAAAAGTCCACTAGTATTTCTAGTTATTATTAAGGTCTAGATCTTTTCAAGAGGGTGAAAGAGAAGTCGCAGCCCTAGTGAGATTCAGTCATGAGGGACCCCGAGAATGTCTGTATAAATAAAGACAGATGACTCCAGTGCAAACATATGAAGTATCATCTACCAAAATTGTGAAAAAGAGATTAAACTAGAAATTACTGGATTTCTGAGAAAGAGCTATAACACGTTTTACTGTATAATCATATATGTGATAGAGGGCTAAGTGAATCTCTAGCATAATAAATTCTGAGACAGCTGTTTCTCTTCCCATCCACAAGCAGAAATCACATTATACAAGGGTAAAAGAAGAGAAGGAATTATCAGCTAAGTGGTACTAATCTGTACTTTCTTAGTCTTGAGGACCCTTCCTTCATAAAAATTCAAAATTATCGTTCAGATAATACAACTCAATGCATTATCTGATCTGAATTATTCTTGCTATCTGTTTTAAATAGAAAGAAAATTAATTAGACTGTTTCACATGACAGAACACTGAATTAAATTTATGGTTTGATTGAACAACAATAGCTTAAGTTCTACATTAAACCTGCAAAACTTTCATAATAAAGTCACTCCAACAGAAATTATACACTTGAAAAAGTGGTTTGAATATGTGACCAGGAAATTATTTGGTTGTTGTGTTGTAGAAATGTCATAAATGAAAATTTGAAAGCAAAGAAACTGGCTACTTCATGTGGCTATAAGGGTGAAAATTATTATGGCAACAGTAGTTTTTTTACAAGTATAATTTTACTCCCTAATCTGAGTAATTATGAGAAGAGTCAGTTTAATCAGTGTGCACTAATTTTAAAAACTGAAATTTCAGAATTTATTTAAAAATGTAATTTTGTTACTTTTTAAAAAGTAGACAGTGATCTGTCTACTAAGATCTGTCAATCTAAAAATTAACATCTGAAACCAAATACTAAAACGAGTTTTGAGAGACACAGTTTAAATTCTCAATTTATTCCTCATTAGTTACGGAGTTTTTATAGTCTTTATAAATTTATTTGAATATTTAAATACAAGTGTTTACTAAACAATTGGCAAATGGACTAATAATTCAAAATCAAATAGTTCACTTAATTAAACATCTACGTTGCTAAAAGCTAGTAATAACACTGAATAGTATTGGCCAAATTGGGCAAATGATATTTTTAGTTTTGTTCATTTTTGTGTTTCAAAGACTAATTTTTGCATTTCAGTAGGCCTTCAATGTATTAACAGTTCATAATAAAAATAATAATCATGTAGATAGAGAAGTATGAAACAGAAACAACATAAAGTCGCTTATCAGAAATAACCCTAAAACAAACATTTGCATAGAGTTTTAAACTTTATGTAATGCTTGTACATATATTTCCTTATTTGTATTTTACATCAACTTTGTGAGGGCAGGCATCTTAATTGCCATTTTATAGATGTGGCAATTCAAAACAGTATGAGAAGGGAGGTTAAATGAGTTAGAATTTAATAATGTAACTTAATAAAATGAGTTTATAAACATTTAAATGTTTATAAAAGAACCTGGACATGATATAGCAATGTTCTCAAAGTTATTATTATCATACCAAAAGCAAACATCTGAGTATTTCTTTAAACACAGTAAGAAAGTTCTAATATCTAGAACACAGGAATGGAAAAGGTCTCAGAAGCAAGCAATGTTGTGAAACATAAAGCTGACATCTTTAGGTTTACTATCTATATCCCACAAATGTGGTGGGGTCCCTAATTAAACCATACTCAAAAAGTATAAGCCATTTGATTAGAAGCAGCAAAAGGGGGCTGACGAAGGAGAGAAATGGCAAGTGCTAGCTGAGGGTGGACTCCCCAACCCCTGCAAAAAACCCAAACAAAACAAAAAACAAAACTACCATGGAAAAGCAGAGAGGATATTCAAAAGAATAAAATAGTTGAGAATTACTAATAGACAAAACATTATTCACAAAAGTCTCATCAAGTCACAGATCATAAAGTAATTCCTGTGGAAATAACATGTTAAAGGTTTCAAAAAAAGTCAAAAGATGTTCTGAATACTTTGAGAAAGTATGTAAACAAAATTTTAATGAAATTTCTAGGATAAATATATAAAATAAAAGTTTTTAAAAGAAGAGTAAAGTTTCATCTCTGTGGAAATCATTTAGGTATAGCAGCTGTTTCTCAGAATGCTGGATAAATGAGGTGCTACTCTAATAGTAGGCAAAGTGCAATAGCATGCTTGCTAGAATACAAATTATACTATTTGTTAAGCATGATGTATAACAGTTAAGAAAATTTCTCCAGAGTATAATACAAGAGAAAATGAGAGAGTATTTTCTTTGGAAAAGAGTCCATATCTGATGAACCCAAAACAAGGGAATGAATGGGCTTTACAAAAATTATCTCAGCTGAAAATAAATACTAAAAAATAGATACGTTTTGTCTGGAAGAAACATAAAAGAACTAATCAATAAAAAACCCATGGAATTTTGTGGTGGTCAAAACCTTTCCCAGAATATTGACAAAAATAGATACCAACACTTTCAAAGGGCTAGTATAGTTCACCTTCAAGTTGCATTTTACTACATTTAATTCCATAGCTGTTTTATTGGCATACAGCTGAACCTCCAAACTTTTAAGTCTGGTCTCTCGTGGGTTTTTGCCTTATTTACCTTTATATCACAATTTTCTGTTACTCTTCTATGCATAACCTAGGCTCCAGGTGAAACAAACTATCTGGTTCCTGAAATTGATTTCAGTTTCCCACACCTACTCTTACCCTTTTCCTTCTCTCTGAATCCTTATACGAAAACCCAGGCCAAATTCTGCCTACTTTGTAAAGCCTTTCCTGATCCACTTCCACCTACTTCCCTCCCCAGCACAAGCAGATTCTTCCCATAAGACTCATGACATTTTATTGTTACCATTCTTGCCATAATTACCCCAATATACTTATCTTTCAGGCATCTAAAGTGGACAGGGTGATATACCTATTAGAAGAACAAACAGGAGTCAAATGGGAAAGAATATCCCAGCTCCACTGTATACTAAATGTATGGTTGGTCAAGACACTAACTCCTTAGGTTCCTGCTCTGAAGAATGGGAATAATCTTAACTCACTTTACAGGTTGGTGCTTATGTTATATGCTAAGCACAAAAAGGACCAATCAATCAATAAATGCACACATTCTGTCTCATGCCTATGATGCTAAAACAATGGGTATGATAAAGGTCATTCAAATTATTTAAGCTTTCCAAATCCTTCCCTCCTCTTTGTACTGTGTTCTAGCTGAGGTTCAAGATGTGTGATCCTCTCAATTTATCCTTAATTCATTATGATAATTAGTTTAAATGACAAATAGAAGGTTCCAGCAGTATTGTAGGCAAAAATGCAGAGATCTGTATTCCTGTAAGAGTACATACATGAAGATGTTAAAAGGAAAGATATAATTGTTTCTGTGCCTCCTAACTGGCAGTCACACGTTCAAAAATTAGAACCTGTGAACATCCACAACACTGTATCATCATGTACATTACTGAATTTAAGAAAGCAACCCAGGTTGTAACCTTAGAATAGTCTTCTTAAAATTACTAACGAATTATTGCTCTAATAAGGTTCATCAGAGAACACAAAACCCGCAATCAGCCATTTTTTTCCAGCAACTGAAATTAGTACTGGGAAATAATTTAAGAAACTAAAAACAAATCCCAGAACAGGTGCTTTGTCTTACCAGATGCAATAATATAAGATAATCAGGAGCAAGGAAAGGGGTCAGAGGAAATTTTCATGAACAGGTAAACAGACAATCTTTTCAAAGTTGTATTTTTACTCACTCTTGCTTTTAAAATATACTTCTTTTAAAAACAGCAAGAAAAAGAAAACGTTTCTCACTCAATTGATAATGGCAGGACAGATACTGGCAAACACCACCTAAGCATTCACACCCCCATCCACACACTATGTTGAAAGAATCTGTCTTGCACCCTAATGGACAACATCTAAAATTTGAGGTTTAAAATTTAAAGATTACACATCTAAAAAGAGTTTTAAAAATGATTGTGTGTTGGGGGAGTCTTGAAAAACAGACCACATTTATTAACGGCGTTGTATCGCTAGCTACTATCACAAAATCTGGCCAAATTAAAGGCACTTATTAAGTATTTGTTCACTGAACTGACATTCCAATTAAGGCTGCAATATTAACATAAAAAGCACCAGCACAATTATATGCACTTTAATGTAACTGCAAAATCATTTAGAAAGTAAGCTGAAACAAGTAGGAATCACTTACAACTAGGGACCAATTGTGTAATAATTTTGAAAGTAGCTGAATCTTCTACACTTTGCAGTAGAAATGAAGCAACATTTCATAACAGCAACTACAAACAAGGCAAATTATAACGTGGAACATCAGTTACAGTCTCCACATTTAGTAGATTGCACTGGGCCACCTTAACAGATTTCATTTTAGTGCCACAATGGCAAATATTGTGAACCTAATTAAGTAATTAGTAAGGGATTTCCTATATGAAAATAATACTTCCTCTTCTTAAAAGTGGCCACCTACTGGGTTTATAAATTAGGCGTTTTTAAGAAAAAACAAACAATATACTGGGGACAGGCTGCATGTTATCCCAAAACGGCAATCTAAAACAAACTCAAGTGTTTAATTATAGGAAGCTTATGCATTTCCCTATGAGGTTTCAGATAATTATTTATTTTACTATATAAGAATGACTATGAAAAATGTAAGACTATTTAATGGGAAAGTTTTACTGTTAATTACTGTTATGCTATGGAAATCTAATGAAATATTTAAAATCATGTAGGTTACTGTAATTGATTTTAAATTTTCCACAGGCCTTATATAGTTAAAATCCTGTCTTTAACAGTCAATTCTTGAAGTCTTATATGATTAATTATATAATTATTAATACTATTATAATTAACAATCATTATAATCATTAATACTATTACAATTAATAATTATATTAATACTAATAAATTAATAATTATGCTAATATAATTACTAATTCTAATTCATAGTAGCAACTATGCTAATAATTTACTCAAGATTCAAATTTCCATGAACATTTCTTAAGAAATTTTTATGTTGTATTTTTAAAAATTTTTATGTTTAATGTTGATGTTTTTAGCTAATTAACTCAATAAAGGCACAGCACCTGGAAGAATTGTTTTTTCACATACTGAGATGTCTACTACAATGTCTTGAAACGGTATTTTGTCCCCTGCTGGTTCATTTTTTGATAAAACTCAACCAAGTGTTTGGGTGACAGGGGTTTTCATGAACCAAGATCTTTTTGCAAGTTGCAATGCTGAGGAAATAATATTAGAATTATTCCTGTCAAGTTTAGCCACAATAATATTGCTTTGCTTATTACTCGGAGCTAAATCCATCACAATACATTTAAATGTATAATGGTCTCACATTAATTCCAAATACAGTAAAAGAACTACGATACAATTTTTGAAGAAATTTAGTAACTGCTATCATTCTGGAAGTGATTAATGTCCCACCCTTCTGAATAGCCTTCCAGCATGGAAATGCTTCCCACTAACTACTGCCTACACAGTATTTACAGGCATGCACACCTCGCAATACATCCTGTTCCACTGGCAGTCAATCATTTATTGGTTTTAAATATTCATACGGCACTACCTACAGAACAGAAACAAGTCAAAGCATATTTCTTGATAATTTTGTTTATTACAAAATCAAAAAATGTTACCATCAGAAAGGATACAAATCTTTGTCCAACTTTCTCATTCCAATAACATTAGAAAAGGAAAAGAAAAAAAAGAAGCTGAGATGTAGAGGTTGACTTATGGATATGGTCACAAAGCTACTTAGCATCAGAACTAGATCAAGACTCTTTCCCATGATATAACTAGAGTAACCTAAGATTGTCAACTTTACCATGGGCATTCTCTGACAATAAAAGTAGAGTTTCTAGAAAAACTTAAAAAAGAAAAAAAGTCGCCATTCATAATAAATTACCATAATAAATAAACAAATCACCACTCACTGTAAACTATTCATAATAAACCTTCACAATAAATCAATCCCTTATATCAATCAGTGGGGTATAGACAACGAGAAAAAACTTCTTGTTAATATATTGTTCTTGGCACCTCCACCAGCATTTCTACATGGACTTGGAGGCAGGGGAACAGGAACAAGTCATACAAAGAAAGCACTTATGGTTTTGCTTAACATTTGATTCATGATTCACCTTCTCATTGCTAGACCTTCAACAGGTGCTTCATATTTGTTGACTGGGAGTTTCAGGACTGGTTGCTTTTAGCTATCAGAATACCTTGTCATTGTAACCTACCTCCTTGGCCATGTCTGTGTATTTCTGCTTTTCCTTTGGATCAAGAACAGCCCACCAATCAGCTAGTATCTTGGTAGCACCTCGGTTATCAAGCCTGGGGTGTTCCTGACGTACAAGAGAGCGATGGCGTTTGCAAAATAAAAGAAATGCATTCATTGGTCTCCGGGCTCGCTGCTCTGGTGATTCATCATCTTCAGTTTCACCAACATCTTGCTCTAGGCCATCGGCCCCAAGAAGTTGAACCTATTACCACCAAAAACAAAGCCAGATCTTTAACATGTTTTGGATAATTTTGACTTAACAGTTAGTCTTGGTTTGCAAATTGCATTTTTTCTTAGCTCCATTTAAACAATTTACACATTGAAAAAAATATAATTTTAAAAAATCAACAACCACTGTTCATGGCTGGTAACTAACTTATGATGTAGCCTTCTGCTTAGTTTCTATAGCAACCTGTGCATGTCTCTATTACAGCATATATTACATTGTGTTATAATTGCTTACATTATTTTCTCTCTCACTAAACAGTGAGCTCTTTGAGGACAAAAGCTCTTATTCACCTTTACAACCATAGTGCCTAGCTCAATGTCTGATATAATATTAATACTTAACTAATTGTTGAATGAATAAATCCATTCTATGGTTAATGGGTATCAAGATTAATAATATCCTCATAAAATATATGAATAGTAGCTGTGTCTTTCTCTGCTTTGAAAAGTGCCTTTTTCTACAGCTAATAATATGACAATATTTATCATGAAAGTAAGAAATAAAAAGGTAATATAGACTACTCAATGTTTCTGCAAGTATCACAAGTAGAGTCTTGTAGTATACAAAAATCAAAATCGATATTTAATATGATTATTTGAAAGAAGAACTATACAATAAATCTTCAAACTTGTGAACTTCAAGCTTTCTTGTTTAGTGAAATGCTCTGGTGATAGGAATAAACTCCTCTAGGCTTAAATATTCAAAATCAATTTTGAATACTCTTTTTTCCTACATTTCATTCAATCATTGTTAAAGGTCATCAACGACTTCCACAAAGCTCCGAATCTGTCCATTCCATCTGGGTAATTCTCATTCCCACTGCCCTAGTACCACTTTGGCCTATGCCTAGTCTTCCCGTTTTTCATCTTCTTTACAATACTTCTTGCATATGGCTGCCAGGTTAACTTTCTTAAAGCACATCTCTGATTACAGAATCTCAGAACATATTATGATTATAAAATATTTTATAAGGCTAAAATGATTCTATAATGTTTCTTAGAAACAATGTAACTATAAACAGAAGTTCACAATGTTTACTAAGCCCATTTCCTTAATTTCTGGTTTCAAAATTAAAATCAAGCAGGACACATTGCAGGTTAAGTATCCCTTATCTAAAATGCTTGGGACCAGAAGTGTTTCGAATTTTCGGATTAGGGATACGCAACTTGTAACCATTAGCCTGCATTATGCAGTAGAGTGGTTAATTCTTGAACTTGAGTATGCACTGGAATCCCTGGAGGTTCTGTTAAAACACAGCTAAGTCCCATTCCCAGAATTTCCGATTCTGAGGTATGGAGCGGGTCCTGAGAATTTGTTACAAGTTTCTAGGTAATGCTGATATTACTGGTTTGAGGAACACTCTTTGAGAACGACAACTGTAAGGCAACCATGTTCTTTTATTACAATGTTTATTGGGCAATTGTTACAAGCAGATACTTTAGGACTAATCACCTGCTTAATCCAACTGGTATTTTTAAAAAGTCTTGGCCAGGCAAGTGGTTCACGCCTGTAATCCCAGCACTTTGGGAGGCCAAGGTGGGAGGATCATGAGGTCAAGAGATTGAGATAATCCTGGCCAACATGGTGAAGCCCTATGTCTCCTAAAAATTCAAAAACTAGCTGGGAGTGGTGGCATGTGCCTGTAGTCCCAGCTACTTGGGAGGCTGAGGCAGGAGAATTGCTTGAACCCAGGAGGCGGAGGTTGCAGTGAGCCAAGATTGTGCCACTACACTCCAGCCTGGTGACAGAGCAAGACTCTGTCTCAAAAAAAAAAAAAAAAAAAAAAAAAAAATCTTTTGCCGTTAAGTATTGCAAATGCAATCAATTAATCATTAATTACCTTCAAACACAAAGAGTATAGAAAAAATCTTGAGGTTACAGCCATCTAATTTGGAGATATGTTAGGAATTATTATTGGGGGTGAAGGCTACATATTTATCTTCCTCATTATGTATATAATAGTAACAATAATTTGCATTTTTCAAGGGAGTTTTATTTAGGATTCTGAAACTAGGAAGCTAAGAAAAACTAAAAAGTGTACTATTAATATATAAGATGAAGAAGCAATTATATTTCCACCCTTCAGAAAAGAGTAACTTTTCATTCAGTTACTAAATTATAAAATTCAGCGTGTAACAGATGGACAAAGGACCTCATGTTTTGGGAGGGAGAAAAACATACAAACATAAATTTAAAAGCAGTATGCTGACTGCGACAAGAAACCAGCAACGTAACAAAGCACTGGTGGACGGGAAGAAGTGCAAGAAGGCCTCCCTGGAAAAGGTTGCCCGAGCTAAATTTTGAGAAGCAAACCAGGCCAGGTGTGGTGGCTCTAATCTCAGCACTTTGGGAGGTCAATGGGAGCTGTGGATCACCTGAAGTCAGGAGTTCAAGACCGGTTAGAGCGACATCGTGAAACCCAGTCTCTACTAAAAATACAAAAGTTAGCTGGGTGTGGTGGCGGACACCTGTAATCCCAGCTACTCTGGAGGCTGAGGCAAGAGAATCACCTGAACCTGGGAGGAGGAGGCTACAGTGAGCCAAGATCGCACTACTGCACTCCAGCCTGGGTGACAGAGCCAGACTCTGTCTCAAAAAAAAAAAAGAAAGAAAAAGAAAGAAAGAAAAAAAAAAAATTTTTTTAATTAAAAAATTAAAAATTAAAAAAAGGAGAAACAAGTCAGAATGTGTCAGGTCGTCAATGGAGAGACATGGGGAACCAACAGGTATTAAGGCTTGCTGGTTTATCTGAACATCAACTTGCAGTTCAACAATACTGGTATGTAAAAGAGAACAGGGCTTTGCGAGACAAGGATGCAGAAGATGATCTGCGCACTTCAGGAAGAATGTGCTCTGCCATATTTACACGCATGCTTTTGATCATGTAAACCAGTAGTTTGGAACTATATGGACCAATAAAAACATGTGATTTGACACAGTTTGTCAACTTTTTATTCTGCCAACTATGAACATTGAAAAATGTTTTAATTGCTATTTAATGTAATTATTAATCAAAAAGCAAATATATAAATATATGAATAACAAAATAGAAATAAAAACTGTCTTAGAGTTTAGAACTTACTTTTATTTCCCCAGGAGCTCATTAATATTTTCTAAGAAAAATCAACACTAGTCCCCACAGCTGGATCGACGTAATGGAGAGCCATGAGTGATTTTAAGCAGTGGAGGGGCATCATTAGATTGTAATTTTAAGGAGATAACTTCTAACAACAGCATAAATTTTAAGAGTAAAACTAGAAGCAACCCAAACTAGAGAACCCAGTTAAAAATTTATCCCAGCTGTCCAGGCAAAAAAGGGATAGGGCTGAAATCTAGACAGCAGTAATGGGAACAGAGAAGTGAGAACAGGGACAATATTTATGAGGCAGAACCAAGAGTGGCTGGTAACTAATTGGATCTGAAGGCAGAAAAAGGAAGAATGATTCTAGCTTGGGTGGCAAAGTTTCTTCATATACAACAAAAAAAAAACTTATTCTCAAACGAGAGAAATCAGGCCTGGTGGAGCGCAGAGATCAGTGCTAGGCAGGCTGAATTTGAAGTGGCTATGGGGAATGCTGTGTGGATACCTATGTCTGCAGGATAACAATGAGATGCCAATAAACAGAAGGTGCTAAGACTAAAAGTATGGACTAGATCACTGAGTGTGAGTGAAAAGAGAAGAGGACTCAATGACTTTAATCCTTCCCCCAATAAATATTTACTGGGTTCCTGCTATGAGCCAGCCACTCTACTAGATGCTGTGAGCACACAGTGAGCACAGACAGCAGTAAGCACAGAGCCTGTGACCTCATAGAAACAGGAGCAGCACAACTGGCCTTACATTTTGAAGGGACTCCTCTGGCTACTTTGTTGAGAATGGACCGCAGAAGGGCATGAGCAGAGGCTGGGAGAGAGAGAGGTAGATACAATAATCGCTGCTAGAAATGGTGGTGGCTTGGATCAAGGTGGTACATGAAGGAACTGTTAAAAGGGCAACAAAACGGTGAACGTATTTTGAAGGTAGAGTTTGAGAGGATTTGCTAACGGATGGATGTGAAGTTCGAGCAAAATAAAGCAGTAAAGTACGAACTACAACGTCTCAGGTCTGACAAACTGGAATGTTGCAGTTGCGCTTTACTGCGAAAGGGAAGATGCAGGAGAAGGTTGGGAGAAGAAAAGCAAAAGCTTAGTTTTGAATTCATTCAAACTGAGATTCCTAGTTGATATCTAAATGGATATGCCAAGTAAATAGAAATATGAGTTCAGAGTTCAGAAGAAAAGCCCAGGATGGAGATAGAAATTAAGATTGGAGGCCCAGAGAACATCATCATTTGAGGGGAAAATAATGCAGGGACATCAACTGAAAGAAACTGGGAAGGAACAATGGGGAAGGTAGAAATAGAGGGGCCAGACATGGTGGCTCATGCTATAATCTCAGCACTTTGAAAGGTTGAGAAGGGAGGATTGCTTGAAGCCATGAGTTCCAAACCAGCCTGGGCAACATAGTGAGACCCTGACTTCACAAAATATAAACAAAATTAGCTGGGCTTAGTGGTGTGTGCCTGTGGTCCCAACTATTCAGGGAGCTGAGGTGGGAAGACTGCTTGAGCCCGGGAAGTGGATGGAGGCTGCAGTGAGCTGAAATGGTGCCACTGCACTCTAGCCTGGGCAATAGAGTGAGACCCTATCTCAAAAAAGAAAAAGAAAGGATAAATAGAAACACGTGTGGGTGGCCAAAGGAAAGAAGAAAGAGAAACAGGAGTGGGTGCCCTCACAGAAACAGGAGACTGCTTCAATGAACAAGTGATCAACACATGCAAATGTGTTTAAAAAATGAAACTAAGAATAAGCTCGATAATACCCTCAAGTAAGAAGAATAAAACCTATTTCTCTGAAACAGGAAAAGCGGAAGGAAAGATTAGTAAGGAGTGAGACAATTACAGAGGTGTGTACAAGAAGCTAAAAGAGTAACTTCTGGTGGCCTCTATTTTCTCTGTGAAAAAGGAGAAAAAGTCACCAGTAAGAGAGGCTTTAGAGGGTATCCAGGTGATATCTGAAAAAGAGGAAAAATGTTTTTAATTCCTGCTGAAAGCCAAGAAGAGACTGAATGGATGTTGAAGGCCTGAAAAATATTAAAAACATGTTTATAAAATTTGTAGTGACACAAAATATGTACTTATTTATTATTTCATTCAGCATACATCTATATTTAATACCTACTATGTGCCAGGCACCATTCTTGGTTCTGAGGCAAGAGGAAAGGACGAGACAGCCAACGCCCCTGTTTTTATACTGAGTTTCTTATTCTGGTCTGAGAGAAGACAGACATAAAGAAGTATACAGCTAAATACATGGCAAATAGCAATAAGCGCCATGAAGAAAATCCTTTGACTTTGAATGTGTTGGGTGCGACAAACACTTGAGATGATTTCTTTTTTTTTTTTTTTTGAGACAGAGTCTTGTTCTGTCACCCAGGCTGGAGTGCAGTGGTGCGATCTTGGCTCACTGTAAGCTCCGCCTCCCGGGTTCACTCCATTCTCTGCCTCAGCCTCCCGAGTAGCTGGGACTACCGGCGCCCAATGCCACGCCCAGCTAGTTTTTTTTGTATTCTTAGTAGATACAAGGTTTCACCGTGTTAGCAAGGATGGTCTTGATCTCCTGACCTTGTGATCTGCCTGCCTCGGCCTCCCAAACCGCTGGGATTACAGGTGTGAGCCACCGTGCCTGGCCGAGATGATTTCTTAAGTCACCTGCATGGCTATGTGACTGAGAGCCAGCTGCTGAGGCCTGATTCCAGAGAAGAGGACTAGGAGGAATGAGTCGTTACAAAGACTGGGGGCAAGTGAAGCCAGAAGCTATGAACGCCAGGGATAGAGACAAACAGAGCAGTTCTAAGACTGCCAAGGGTGGCAGGGCGAGGCCAGAAGCCAAGACAGAGAGGCCAGAAAAGCCACAGGGTAGAATGTCAGATGAGCACATCAAGTTTTAGGAACATCCCCATCTCAATGTATTTGAATATTACTCACAAATCATTGGTTAGGTGACAAAAATAGTATTTAAAAGGCTGTGTCTCAGTCTACACTATTAGGAAGTACAAATACTTCAAGAGCAATCAAGAATTGGAATAAAAATGTACACTAAGTAACTGAACAGGATTCAAGCTATACAGACTTTTGGAAACACATCTTTTGTGATATCATTCATGTTCACTATTGTTTCTAGAATATTATGATTTGCTCTAATAAACTTGAAACTTCTACAGTAAATATAGGACTTACCTTGTCAATATCCTCCTCTTCGTCTTCCTCTTCTTCCTCTTCTGAAAAATCAAGAAGTTTCTTTGCTAGCAATGGATGCCACTGAAGACACTTTCGTTTTGGTCGTTTTCCAACCCCTTCTCCTTCTGCTGAATGATCCTTATTTCTATTACTGCCTTTCATTACTGTGACCTGTAACAGGAAGAGAGAGAGACAGAAACAGGGAGACAGGGAGAGAAAGAGAGACACTGAGATAAATCAAAGTAAATTTGATTAAAATTAGTTTATTTAGCTTCCTTAGTATTAATTATAATTTTAATGACTAAACTATCTACTAGCTCATTTACTGGACTCAGTGGGAATCCAAAATACGTAATGAAACATTCATCTTAGTGGGCCAAATGGAGCTAATAAAATTTGCCTTTTGTGAAATCTACTTCCCTCCGCTACACAGCTTCAGAACCTAAAACCCCAGTAAGCTTAAGAATATTACCAGTTACCTTCACTTGTGTGTATTTACTCAGGGAAGCATTTCTCAATTTCCCATCAGAAGAACATGATGGATGCCTCCCAAGAGAGTTAAAGAGTTCACAGGGACTTGCCCCCCAGGCATTCTCTGATGGCTATTTTACTATAACAATTTACACTTATTTTGCATTCTATACCATGTTAAATCTGTGCTTATAACATTACTAAATAAAATGAGTAATTTGTAAGAATCCAAAGTTTTAGATTTGGGCAGTTGGCTAAGCTAAGAAATGGCCAAGCTATCAACGTGACAAAAATCGTTTAGAAGCCTAAAACTCTGAATTACTTTTCAATGATGTAAAAAATAGTTCTTTTCCTTGAGAAAAGCAATACATATTTCTATTAAACAGGTGAAAATCGCATAAAATGAGGTTTGCCCTCTCCATCATGTCCCGCACCATGGTCCAGAGGGAACTGCATGTTAGTTTCCTATACGTTTTCTCACAACTTTTTTTCTGACGTTACTTCTCATTCATTCATTCAAAGTAATGTTAAAACAGAAATTACTGTCATGGAAAAACTCAAACAATACAATTAAATGCCATCGGTTTAAATGGTTCATGAATGCTGACAATACAAACATAAGTACAGTTGCTAAAATCACCAAGTAGCAGCCTATTTGCTCACTATGTTTGCATTAGTCCAAATGCTTGAGAAGTGATACCATTAAACTTTTAACATCATATTAAAACAGAAACTGGGATTGATGAACACATAATATAAAGATTCATGTAGTTCTCAAGCCATTCAGAGAATATGATACAGGCAAATTTATCTGTCTGCCTTGTTTCTGGATTCTGGGTCATGCCTAGGTCTTACTTCAAACAAATATTCACCAATGTTTTCTCCTAGAACTTGTACAACTTCATTTTATACATTTGAATGAACAAGTGATCAACACATGCAAATGTGTTTAAAAAATGAAACTAAGAATAAGCTCGATAATACCCTCAAGTAAGGGTATTACTTATGGATTATACATGGATTCATTTTAATAAAGTAAGTGAGGTAAGGATCTAGCTTATTCTTTTTTAAAAAATAGCCAACTATACCAATACCATTTATTAAATAATCCAGCTTTTCACTATTCCTTCTGTGCTACATTAAATTATCACATGTATACGAGTCTATTTCTGGATTATCTTCTGTTAATAACCTCCCTCCAACTACTTTGACCAATTTCAATGTCCTTAGGGACTATATCATTCTACATCTTTTTAAATATACAAATATATCAATAAACAGCCATTCAAAAATTTAAGCTGCATATATCATACTCTTCTATCTAGGTCAATACATGTTGATTGTTCTAATTTAAAAATAATTGTGTAATATTCTAAAAATGAATGTACCACAATTTACCGAGTCTACTACTGATGAAGCGATTATTGTGCTACAATAAAACTCCTCATTTTAATAAAATCATTTTCTAAAAAACCTTCATTTTTAACAAAAGTTCTCATTAATTTTTTTTTTTTTTTTGAGACAGTCTCACTCGGTTGTCCAGGCTGGAGTGCAGTGGCGCAATCTTGGCTCACGGCAACCTCCACCTCCCAGGTTCAAGCGATTCTTCTGCCTCAGCCTCCTGAGTAGCTGGGACTACAAGCGCCCACGACCACACCCAGCTAATTTTTGTATTTTTAGTAGAGACGGGGTTTCACCATATTGGCCAGGCTGGTCTCTAACTCGTGATCTTGTGATCCGCCCGCCTTGGCCTCCCAAAGTGCTGGGATTACAGGCGTGAGCCATCGCGCCCAGCCATCATTAATTTATTAAAAGCTATTCCAGTCAAGAAAAAGAGAGGAGGAAAAGAAAAACATGGTCTTGTGGCTTTCTTAGCAAGAAACTCATGCTGGATTACTTGTGTGAATTACTTGTGTGAATTAATTTATTAAAAACTATTGCAGTCAAGAAAAAGAGAGGAGGAAAAGAAAAACATGGTCTTGTGGCTTTCTTAGCAAGAAACTCATGCTGGATTACTTATGTGATTACTTGTGTGAATTACAATTGAATTACTTGTGTGGCTGACTCAAGAATGTAAGAAGTTACCGAAAACTAAATGGAATTAGGTATCTGGTGTGCTCTTAATAAGAGAAGATACCTTGTGAATTGATAGACCATTTAACAATTCCCATTGTATCTACAAATAAAAATTGGCACAGGTAACCCAATTTCCAGAAATGCCAATGTTATGTAGAGAGAAGAGGAAACGGTTATTTCTGTAGCATAGTAATCACTTCAGGATGAGTTGCTTGAGTGGTAGTAAAACCCATTTGAGGGTCTAATATTTTAAATAGTAAAAGAAATCAGCGGGAAACTGTAAGTAAGGCAGTTTCTATCAACTGGAGAGGGTAAAACGATTGCCAATGCCAAGAGAAAAATACATCTTTAGCCCCCAAAATTTTGAATTAAATTGTTATTTAATTATGTGTGAATGTATATATGTGTGGGTATGTGTGTACCTTTGTGTGTATATATATATATATAATTTCAATATTCAAAGAGAAAACAGGATCTGAAGAATCAAATTAATGAGGGGAATATGTGTCTTCTTTCTGGGTTCAAAATAATCGCATTCAGTCCTCTCTCACTTCTAAGTTTTTCCACGTAGCTCATATACCACTTTGGAGAAAATGCCTTTTCTGATACTCCAGAAATTAATCTTTGTCACCCAGAAATACATTAGAAAGACTTTACATTGCTAACGGCACTTACCACATTTTCCCACGAATTGTAATTATTTAGATACATCATACCTCCATTGCTAGGCCTTTTTTTTAATGTTCCGAGACTATACTTATATGCTCAGAAACATCCTAGCACATCAGATCAAGACCAGTTAGTTGTGAGGACTATCATAAACAATGATACAAAATCCTGCGCCAAATTGTGATGATGACTCACTATTTATATTCTCTAAGATAGCTTCAAGATTAACTACAATTTCTTACACTTTCCTGAATTCAGATATTCTTTTCTAAGTGGGAAAGAAAGGGAATTGAAAACTGTGCACAACTCAGACACACAGACCAAGGTGGCATGTGATGTCTGAGAACCAACAGATGCACAGGCTTGTGGAGAAATGAGGCTGGCAACCCCTAGCACAGGGCCTGGAACAAAGTAGGTACACTTTTAGCAGGTATGGAAGATGAATAAAACAGTAAGTGAATTGGAAATAGTATACCTCAGATGAAATAATCAAGAAAAATGTACCATAATTGATCTAATAACTATGAAATACTTCAAAGTATAAACTGTGCACTTTAATAATTCATAGTTATCTAATTTGTTCTTAATTCTGTATGGATCTATTTTCAAATTATTGAAAGAATGCAAAACAGTGAAGGGAAATGATGTTCCTGATTATGATTCAGAAGTAATGAGAAAGCAAGAGAGAATAATTTTAAAAAGATTTTAAAAAGTGGGAAAGACAAGGGCAAAGAAAGCATAATTTTGAGACAATGTTGTCACTCATCTTACTTCAACAATGAGGAGGAGGTGAAATTGTTAATTTTTAAAGTGACAGAGGACTAATCTTGTAATTATTTTGCCACTAAAAAGCCCACACATTTTAAAGTTTGGTTTCTTGGTCTTAGAACAAGAGGAAATTAAGCTAACAATCTATATGCTGTAAATGAAGCAAATGTTGGACTTCATTCAAAAGGAGTTCTTCTTCCATTCTGCACTGCAATTTTAGAATCATTGAAATCAGGTTATTTAACTATCAATGGACTCTGTATTTGAAAAACTAAATATCATCAAATTATGATGCTGAGACTGTCAAATGATGATCTAAAACACCTACCAACATGTATCTGGTGAAAACAAACGAACTCACGTGTCTCCCCTTCGCCCCCTTTCTATGTATGGCAGGACAGGTGACCCTAAATAGACATCCTCTACTGAATTCAATGTAAACTGACAAATTAGGAAAAACTTCATTTAATCATATTCTTCAAATGTAGCAAGCCTGAGCCGAGCGTGGTGGCTCACGTCTGTAAACTCCCAGCACTTTGGGAGGCCAAGGCGGGTGAATCACGAGGTTAAGAGATCGTGCCATTCCGGCCAACATGGTGAAACCCTGTCTCTACTAACAATACAACAATTAGCTGGTTGGTGGTGGCGTGCACCTGTAGTCCCAGCTACTCGGGAGGCTGAGGCAGGAGAATCACTTGAACCCGGGAGGCAGAGGTTGCAGTGAGCCAAGATCACGCCACTGTACTCCAGCCTGGCAAAAGAGTTAGACTCTGCATCAAAAAAAAAAAAAAAAAAAAAAAAAAAAAAAGTAGCAAGCCCATTCATGAAGGACCTTTACTGAGGTCAGACTTCATGAGAAGCTTAAAGAAGAAAGATTTTAGAAGGAAACAGTACAAAGCAAATGCCATATTTATTAAAAGAATAATAATAATGAAAAAGGACACTGCAGCCTGATAGGCTTCCTTTGGAATCCTGCCTCTACCACAAACTACCTGTTGGAAAGGGAAAGTTAATACCTGTGCTGATATTTCCTCATGTGAAAATTAAATAATAGCTCTACTGTGAGAACACATATGTAATACCCAGCACAGTGTCTAGAAGATTCTCGTTCACTGTTGGCAAATCCCCTCTTTACTCAACAAGCTTTTTAGACTGGGGAGCATGGGTTTAACAGGCAGCATCTGCTT